CCGGGGGCAGCAAAAATGGATGCACGGCGGGTTTTCGGTCCGTCTACATCGGTATTTGGGGGGTGCCTCGCAGCCCAGTTATAACTGCCACGTGGTACTTATAATCGCGATCTACGAGGACCCCATAAGTGCAGTTATAACGCACCCAAATGGTTACATCCAATATATAACTTTTGCATGACTTATAACGGGAATATACTCAAATACCTCATGTATAACATAACCTTAGGTATGTTATAATCCCTGATAGCACATTTATAAGTTCATGTTATATATGCTATAAGCACAGCGGCCGCCTAAGTAGTAGTGGTGGGTGCCGCATCACGGGTTGCAGCGGCCATGCGTGGCACTCGAAAGGCGATGGGTCCGCCCCCAACATAAGCAATGCCGAAGGTATCATCATCTTGACTAGTACGCAACTCAGCCCACTCCGGCCCGTCGGGCGTGTCGGTCCAGTGGGTGATAGGTTGGCCAGCTTGGTCACGGAAGACCAGGCGACCTGCCGCATGCGCTTGCTGTGCCCTGTTGTCGGGATCCACTCCTTTGTCATGAAGAGCCCCCCAGACAGAACCGTGAGTGCAGGGGAAATCCAGCACGATGGTATGGGTCAGACCTCCTATTGGCCGTAGGTCGATTGGCACAGCTCTGGTGTGGAGTCGGGCATCGTGCGGTGTCACCACGAGCTGTGGTGTGGCAAAGCCTGCAAGCGGGACCGTGACCACATATACAAGCTTAGCTTCATAGGGCACGACAGCTAGGGCATCGGCAACATATTCCAGCAGAGTCCACTCTGAAGCTGCCGGTCGCTGCCTGAGGTCAATTCTTGGCTCGAAGATGGTATACCGTCTCGCCTCCCTGCTGTGAGGCGGAGGCAGGTCCGGACAAATGCTGTCAAGAGGCCTATACCCGAATTGACCCGCCAACCAACCAGGCCGGGTCGGAACCTGATAGGCTCGAGCCATGCGCAAATCCGGAACGAGGCATGGTGCCCTCGCTTGCCGGTCCACCGCACCCAACACCTCCGGCACCCTTGCTGGCCAAGCATCAGGGGCCGTGCACGCAACAGGCGGCACAGGACACGAGGAATTGAAACCTCCGAGGTTAGAAATGCACCTCTCGGAGGGTTGTGGCTCTGCAGGAAGGATGTTGGCAGGAGCATGGGGATGAACCTCCTGAATGGTGGCAGGAGGAGAGGACGGTGGGATGGGCAGACTTTGGCAGAGGAGTTGATGCTGGCCCACCAGGAAAAACTCCACAGATGCCTCTAGGTCGAACCGGACACTATTGGTCGGTCCGCGAGTCTGTACAGCAGAATGTACACCCCTGCTCAGCGGGACTGGCCTCAAACGCGAATCAGCGGCTGCCTCGCGAGAAACCTGCAAGGAGGCTGCCCTTGGTTGCTGCTCAACGGTCGTCTGGCCAACCATGCGACGGACCGGAACATCCCCAATAGCAGCCTGCCCCGCAAGGCTGCTCAGCGGGCCGCCGTGACTCCCAGTTGGGTCACAGTTGCAAAACATCGTGGTGCAAAGAGCGTCGAAGCCTGAAGGTGGCACACACATCGTGCCCTCGATGCGTGCGTCCCTCCACGTGGGGAAGAGCCTTGGGTCATCCACATCCAGGAAATCCTGACAGGACACTTCGAACTGCCACAAAATCGCCAGCCATCTACCAGTGGACTCCCCGGTGAAGTCCGCTTCCTGGCAGATGCTGCTTAGGTTGCCTCGACCTGCCATGCAAGTCGACCGGCATGGGCCCGGCCCGCAGATAGCCAAGTGGCCTAAATGCGGGCCTACTGAGGGGGCGGCTTGTTGTCCCCATCCTTGTCCGGCTTGACAGATGAACCAGGTGGACCAAGCTTGAAGGGCGTTTTGGCAGTGCCTGGCGCACCACCATCGGGAGCCTCCGACGGCCCGCCCTCGGCGTTCCGTCTTCTCGGCGTCCGAGAGCCCTCGCGCTCCCGGGACGCCTGGTCCTCGGCCTGCTGCTTGACTTTCAGCAAGGCCTCCAGCACCTGGCGGGCACTTTGTTGATGTGCCTCCTGCTCCTTCTGTAGCCGCTGTTCCACCTCCACAGCCTCGGTGACCATCGCATCGGACTCGTCGTCGTCGATCTCCTGCAGGTCGCCGTTGTTCCCCGACTGTGAAGTCAGCTTTGCAAGTAGCTGCGTCGACTGCATCTCCTGTTGCGTCCATTCCAGTTCGGCCTGACTGAAATTTTCCAACACAGTCGTTTGCGCAGCTACCTGTCCATCCAGAAGCTCCACCACCTGAGTCACATAGTCCTTCCAAGCGGTGAGGTAGGCCTGTCTGTTGCCCCTCAGGCGGGCTAGCTCCTCGCGAGCCTTGGCCTGATCCTTCACGGCTCGGTGAAGGTCTTTCGCAGTGTTGCGGGAGCCGGCGCGCTGATACTCTGTCAGCATCGCCTGGGCTGCTTCCGGAAGCCCTGTATAGCCAAAACCGCCATGAGCGCGTCCAGCTGCGCTTTCTCCTGGGAGACCGATGCGCCACTCTGCGCTGCCTGGTCGCCCGCCGGCTTCTTCGGCAAAGGTGTTGGTGGCACCGCCGGTGGCGCGGGAATGGCGTCCAGGGTAGGCGCAACACCAACGGGATGTTGCTTGCCCTGTCCCTTCGCCCCTTCCTCCGCTTTGCCCGAGCCCTTGCCTCCGCCCCCGCGTTTCCTCGGCGAGCGCGGTCTGGGTTGCCAAGGCGGCTGTCGTCGTCTTGGTGACGGCTCCCCTCGAGGGGGCCGCGAGTCCGGGGCTCCTCCTGCATACGTCGACGGCCGAGACCGGTTCTGGTCCTGCTGGTCCCAGCGCCGTCCGCATGTCCCGCAGAAGGAAGTCTTTGCTCGGCACCAATGCACACATGTGTAGCACCACCAGGCCTGGTTGCCTGCCATGGTTGCTGTCCCAGGGGCTCTCAGCTCGGCCCTCCGCTTTTGCAAAGCCAGCCTGGGCAACTCCGACCCAGAATGATGTCGCTGTAGCTGCTGGATAGCCGCCTGTACTGTCCAGTCCCAACTGGTCAGTCCTGACGTGTAGTTCCGTAGCACAGTTCTGGCCTTGGTACGTCGCCTCCGGCACTGGCGATGCCAAGCCGGTTCTGGGGGCCGCCTCAGTGTCGTTGTCCGCGGCCGCGAGGATATCCAGGATGAGGAGGATCAGAAAGGTCCACCCCCCCATACACCTCGAAACAAAACTGGGGATAATGTTCCCTCAACGGCGACGCCGATGAGGGAGCAGAAGCCCGAAGCCAGCCACCTCGACGGGTGGGGCAGAAAGAACCCGGGGACCTCGCACGGCGTACAGTCCACGGTTCGCTGTGGGATATTCACCAATCCACACACGGGTTAGCAGCAGGGAGCAATGGCGGACCACTACGGGAAACTACGCCAAGCCCTGCAAGCCAAACGCCTCCCCTGATCCGTTTAGGGTTTAGGGTCTAGGAGCCCTCAACCTTAAACCCAAAAACCCAAGCCCTATTCCAATTCAAGCGCTAGCTCTAAACCCTAAGCTCTAAACTCCTGAATCTGAGCCCCACGATCCGGCTACAAATCTCCCGAGCCCCTTTAAACTCTAATCCCAAAGCCTTGAAGCTAAGATTTATGGACGGTGTAAACCCCAAAATGCTTAAATCCCTACCTAAACACTGAGAGGTAGGCAAGACCATGGCCCGAACACTTATAAAAGGCCCGTATTCTACTTACTGTTGGGGTCCAGGGCGAATCTGTGCACTATTCTATTTCTTCGAGGATCATGGGACTTAGTAACTAGGGTTAGAAGTAAGGTAACTATGCTTATAACTACTTATGACCCCAATAAAGGAACTTATAACCTTACTTACTAAGTCCCATGATCCTCCAAGTAGTCTTGCTACATCGAAGCTGTGGCTCAGGAGCCGGCGGCCGGGTTGGGCTCTACAGCTCCATACAGGGTTGAGGGTTTAGGGCTCAGGGAGCTGATGAACAAAATCCTGCATGACCTTATAAGGACCCTATACCATGGCAATTATGGTATATCCCTTATTATGGGTAATGCAGGGTTTTGCTGATGGACAAAATCCTGCATGACCTTCAGGACCCTATACCATGGGAATTATGGTATATTCCTTATTATGGGTAATGCAGGATTTTGTCCATCAGCCGTACTTTGTTGTCTTTTGTTGGGCCTGTTCCTCAAATCAACCGTTATGAAATGCAAATCCATGCTATAGGGGCCTAAATAATTACCTATACTATTGTGGGTGTTCTTTAGTATCATGGACACCAAGACCCTCGTCTAACTATTAAGGCCCCTATGTTGCTTTTTCTCTCTGGTTACTTCGAAGTCCAGGGACAAAACAATCCTTGAGTTCGGTCTCTATGGGACCAAAACAGCTTCTACACGCCGGGCATCAGTCTTCCGACTTGTGCCGGCCAGGGTTCATGACACTAAGACTGTACAAAAATTTAATAGTGTGTACACGATCTTGTACGAAAATAGGCAATAAGATACTACTGTAATTACTATCTTGTGCAAATTCACCTGAGGACCGCAAGGATGGGGATGGCAAGCCCGCCTCTCGAAAGGTTCCGGCGGCCGAGAGTGTCACGAAGGCATGGTGTCATCGCCCTGTTCATGGTGCAGATGTCCGAAAAGCAGCCGATGATGATCAACAAAGTTGGCAACCCTGAGGAAGTTGCAAGTTGCAACCAGGATGCGTGGGGCGGAGACTCAAAGTATCGCCGTCACGACGCTCGCTAAGAAACTGAAGCCGAAATCGGACATGAATTGCATTGGGGACCAAATGCCGGGAGATGAAACTCAGAAGGTTGGTTTCCTGGTTACAATGTCCTTTGTTCGGGGATCTTCACAGTAAACCAAATGGGTGGTTGTCAAGATTATGGTCCCATTTTGGGTCCCTATTATAATGCGGCACCTAATATTTAGGTAACCCCAAAAGGGGTCATAATTTTGACAACTACCCAAACGGAAGTACGCCCTTCACGAGACCTGGCAGGATGACCATTGACATGCTCCAGTACAGCTTCGAGCATGGCGACGCTGCTTGGTGGAAGCACTAAGTCCATGAGGCTCCTCCTTGTGACCTAAACGGGGTTTAGGGTTTAGGGTTTTTTTAAGGTTTAGGCCTGAATCCCAGCCATTCCCCTAAGAGTCTTAGGTTTGGGTGGTTTTTCTTTTCGAGTTCAGAAGCTTTGGGACCTAGAGCGTGTTGCAGGGTGCCGGTCTGGGATCTTGGGGATGTAATATGGGGTCTTGGGGATGTAATATAGAGGCCTGAATAACTACCAATACTATGCTGGGGTTCCTGTTGATAATATAGTATACCCCGAAACCCTATTCTAAATATTAAGGTATTATAGTACCCTTATAGACCCCTTTAAAGGAACCCTATTCTAATTATTAAGGCCCCTACAGAAAAGGGTCAGGTTTTGGGTTTTTGAAGTAAGAAGTTATATAGTGTTTAGCCAAGGGAGCTGCGTCCGCTCAAATCCGTAGTAACACCTGGAAACCGAGCCTAGTAACTCATTTACTGTAGGCTCTCTGCTGTGTGCAGTTTCCTTTCTCGAGTCTCATGAACTTACAACCAGGACCCTGCCGTGATACCGCCAGTGCACAAAGTCCTTCAGATCTATAAAAGTACGTCACAATTCCATCAGCTCAGGGTATTTGAGGTACAGCAGGAAGTTGTCCATCAGGTTTAGGGTTTAGGGTTTCAAACCCAACACCGTAAGGTAAACCGGGGACGTGGTACAAGGGGGTGCTCTGAAGTCTGTCAATGCTGCAAGACTTCGTGAATGCTCCAGAAGACAACATAGGATCGTCCTAGCCCCTGAACCACCAATGCAACAGCACCGTTAGCAACAGTAGCATTAGCAATCTATCGTAGTAACCATAATAGCAACAGCAGCAGTAGCAGCAGCAACTGCAGCAACAGCAGCAACCACATCCACAAAAATGCTCTGTGGGGCCCGAGTGGCCTCCTTTTAGTGCTGAACATGCTGCACATCCGCACAGTGGCGGGTGAAGAACTCCTGGCCCTTGACTTGGCGAGCTTTAGCGAGACGCTTCCTGCAGACATGTATCCAGTACGGGCATTGAAGCAACACTTGCACAGCAGATGTGGGCTATCAAGGTTCAGGCAAAGGCTGGTTCATCTGGGCGATAATGCGGTTCTAGATGACAACTGCACCTTGAGAGCCGGCGAAGTTCAGGTCGTTCTTCTTAGCTTTTGCCCAGTATCTGATGCGCAAGTGACAGTGCTTCGGGATGCTGCAAGAAGCGGCCTGACATCAGAAGTGGAGAATCTTCTCCAGAGGCCACAAGACCCTGATGCAGTATGTTATGGTCATCCAACCCCACTGTTGGAGGCATGCGGGCATGGCCATCTCGAGGTGACACGCCTTTTGCTGGAGGCCAATGCTGATAAGGACAAGGCCAATTCGATTGGCATCACCCCTTTGTTCATCGCAGCTCAGAATGGACAGTTGGAGGTTGCGAGGCTTTTACTGGAGGCCAATGCGGACGCGGAGAAAGCCACACAGAGGGGCAGCACCCCTTTGCACATCGCAGCTCAGAATGGACAGTTGGAGGTTGCACGGCTTTTGCTGGGGGTCAATGCCGATAAGGACAAGGCCAATGATAATGACATCACCCCTTTGTTCATCGCTGCTCAGCAAGGACAGTTGGAGATTGTACGGCTGTTGCTGGGGGCCAATGCAGATAAGGACAAGGCCAACAAGACAGGCACCACCCCTTTGTTCATCGCAGCTCAGAAAGGACAGTTGGAGGTTGCGAGGCTTTTACTGGAGGCCAATGCGGACGCGGAGAAAGCCACACAGAGGGGCAGCACCCCTTTGCACATCGCAGCTCAGAATGGACAGTTGGAGGTTGCACGGCTTTTGCTGGGGGCCAATGCCGATAAGGACAATGCCAATGATAATGACATCACCCCTTTGTTCATCGCTGCTCAGCAAGGACAGTTGGAGATTGTACGGCTGTTGCTGGGGGCCAATGCAGATAAGGACAAGGCCAACAAGACAGGCACCACCCCTTTGTTCATCGCAGCTCAGAAAGGACAGTTGGAGGTTGCACGGCTTTTACTGGAGGCCAATGCGGACGCGGAGAAAGCCACACAGAATGGCGTCACTCCTTTGTTCATCGCTGCTCAGCTAGCACAGTTGGAGGTTGTGCGGCTTTTGCTGGGGGCCAATGCCGATAAGGACAAGGCCAATAAGAATGGCATCACCCCTTTGTTCATCGCAGCTCAGAATGGACAGTTGGAGGTTGCGAGGCTTTTACTGGAGGCCAATGCGGACGCGGAGAAAGCCACACAGAGGGGCAGCACCCCTTTGCACATCGCAGCTCAGAATGGACAGTTGGAGGTTGCACGGCTTTTGATGGGGGCCAATGCCGATAAGGACAAGGCCAATGATAATGACATCACCCCTTTGTTCATCGCTGCTCAGCTAGCACAGTTGGAGGTTGTGCGGCTGTTGCTGGGGGCCAATGCAGATAAGGACAAGGCCAACAAGACAGGCACCACCCCTTTGTTCATCGCAGCTCAGAAAGGACTGTTGGAGGTTGCACGGCTTTTACTGGAGGCCAATGCGGACGCGGAGAAAGCCACACAGAGGGGCAGCACCCCTTTGCACATCGCAGTTCAGAATGGACAGTTGGAGGTTGCACGGCTTTTGCTGGGGGCCAATGCCGATAAGGACAAGGCCAATGATAATGACATCACCCCTTTGTGCATCGCTGCTCAGCAAGGACAGTTGGAGATTGTACGGCTGTTGCTGGGGGCCAATGCAGATAAGGACAAGGCCAACAAGACAGAAACCACCCCTTTGTTCATCGCAGCTCAGAAAGGACAGTTGGAGGTTGCACGGCTTTTACTGGAGGCCCATGCAGACGCGGATGAGAAAGCCACACAGAATGGCGTCACTCCTTTGTTCATCGCTGCTCAGCTAGCACAGTTGGAGGTTGTGCGGCTGTTGCCGGGGGCCAGTGCCGATAAGGACAAGGCCAATGATAATGACACCACCCCTTTGTTCATCGCAGCTCAGAAAGGACAGTTGGAGGTTGCACGGCTTTTACTGGAGGCCAATGCGGACGCGGAGAAAGCCACACAGAGGGGCAGCACCCCTTTGCACATCGCAGCTCAGAATGGACAGTTGGAGGTTGCACGGCTTTTGCTGGGGGCCAATGCCGATAAGGACAAGGCCAATGATAATGACATCACCCCTTTGTGCATCGCTGCTCAGCAAGGACAGTCGGAGATTGTACGTCTTCTGCTGGAGGCCAATGCGGACGCGGAGAAAGCCACGGCGAATGGCGCCACCCCTTTGATCGTCGCAGCTTGCTATGGACAGTTGGAGATTGTACGGCTGCTGCTAGAGGCCAATGCGGACAAGGACAAGTCCGATCAGCATAGTGGCGCCAAGAGTGGCGCCACCCCCTTGATCGTCGCAGCTGGCAGTGGACACTTGGAGGTTGTGCGGCTTCTGCTGGAGGCCAATGCGGACAAGGGCAAGGCCACTCAGGATGGCACCACGGCTTTGTTGGTCGCTGCCGAGAATGGGCATGTGAAGGTTGTGCGGCTTTTGCAGCGCTGTAAAACCCTTGTCAAGGCCTTCTAGGGACATTCTCAAACAACCATACATAAGCCGATACAAACGACAACATTCTACATGTAAGCCTTATAGAAATTGTTGATGAACACCGCATAATCATCATCCTTTTGGAATTTATACGTGCCACATGAATGTTATTGCTGGAGCTTTCGCGCTCCGCTCTGCGGTCTTGGCAGCTTGGGCGCTTGGGGGGAGCCAGATGCGTTCTTCCCTGCCTCACCCTTGTTGCTGTCCTGCTTCTGTTTCTGGTTGCAAGGATTTTCTCCCACAAGCGGTTCTTTCCTTGCAATCTAATTAAGCCAGTCCCCAGAGCCTCCAGAACCCCTTAATTAAGGAATATACCTTAAACTATATTAGGGATCCCTAATATAGCTTAAGGTCTATTCCTTAATTAAGGGGTTCTGGAGGCTCCGGGTCAGCTCTGTTGTTCTACAGTAGAAGCCAGAAAGTTGGAATATCATTATCGTAACCCCTTTAAGGTAAGTTATAGGGGATCCTACCATTAATCCATATTCCAACTTTCTGGAGTTCCCTCTACGCCGTAAGGTTGGCCATGTGAAAGCTCAGGCTGCAGACCCCCGAAATCCCCAAACCATGAAGCCTGAAGCCGGTACCAGCAGTTTAGGGTTTAGGGCTTAGGGTTTCGGGTTTAGGGTTTAGGGTTTAGGGTGTAGGGTTTCGGGTTTAGGGTTTAGGGAGAACCCAATACCCCTTAATTAGGGAATATACCTTCAATCATAATATGAACCCCCTTACAGTATAGTTTATAAGGTATATAGTTGGTATATTCCTTGATGAAGGGGTTTTGGAGGCTCTGGGTCTGGGTACCTGGAGGGCGTCAGGGGTCCAGGATCTGAGCCTTCCACTAGCAAGGTATGTAGTCACTAAATCACTACCCATACTATTTTGGGGGGTTCCTTCTTATATCCACAGTATAATGGGCCCCAAATGCCTATTCTAAGTTTTAAGGCTCCATGATTGCCAGGGAAGTTCTGTTTTGGGATACCTTCTCGGATCCTGTTTGTAGAAGTGGTTAAACCCGGAAATGAATTACCCAGACCAGAGTAACCAACGTACCTTTAAACGCGGATATGACACGAAAAGGCTGTACTTTTATCTTTGTTTAAGGTACCTTGGCTACTCTTGCTGCACAATGGACCCTATCGGCTTGGGCCAAGGACGTGATGATTTCGCAGCGTTCCGTGCACGAGCAAGGCAGGATGCCCCAGTGCGTGAAAATCATTGAATCAGTTTGTTACAGGATAGGTTAGAAGGGGCCCCCACCCTGTAATAGTGACTATAAGGATAATATTAGAGCCCTATTAGATTCCTATTATACCACTATTACAGGGTGCCCGGGCCCCTTCTAAAGGATAGGTGGTTTGAGGAGGGGCAGCTTCAGGGTTTGTCAGTGTGGGTATAAGAGATACCTGGAGGATCATACCCTACCCCTCTTTAAGGGTATCTAGTTTAATGGTTAGGATCTCCTATATAGAAAAGTAGGTACCTTAAAAAAGGGGTAGGGTATGAGCCTATAGGTATGGTAAGATCTGTAACCCCCAAAATAGTAGGATTCATATAAGGAGCCCTCATAAAGGCCCAAGGTTTCTTAATCAGGTTGTTAGAGTATTATAGCACCCTCATAGATCCCTTACTGCAAAGAGTGCAGTATCGCCTAGCAGTCAGCAGCAAAAGAGGTAGGACAGGAGGACCAGCAGCCGGAGCAGGAGGATGAGGAGGGGGAGGACCCAGAGACTCCAATATCCCTTAATTAAGGAATATACCTTAAATTTTAGTAGAACCCATAATATGATTTAAGGAATAATTCCCTAATTAAGGGGTATTGGAGTCTCTGGGAAGGCGGAGTGGCAGCCATTAGCAGTGCATAGTGTTAGTGGTGTTGGTAGTGTTGTTGTGGTGGTGGTGGTCGTAGTAGAAGTAGCAGCAGCGGTGAAGGAAGGGGTGCTAGCGAACTTAGGAGTAGTAGTCGTTATCGTGGCCGTCATTGTCGTCGTGGTGAGTTTTGGCGGTAGGAGCAGCGGGAAGAGGAGAACCTGCAACAGAGACTTGAAGATGACACCAGCTAGTCATTGCCGAAGGCCGAAGCCGTCGCCATTCATGTGGGTGGTTGTCAAAATTAGACTCCCTTTTGGGGTACCCTAAATAACAGGTGCCGTATTACAATAGGGACCCAAAAAGGGACCATAATTTTGACAACCACCCATGTATCAGTCTTCAGCACCATCTTCCTCATGACTATGATCCTTTGCATCAGAGGTCCGGTGCCATTGGCCCCTGACGATGCCTGACTCTCATTGGCACTGTTGGTTGCCTCCTTCAGACCTTCAGAATGCTAGACTGTTTTTGAAAAATAGACAACATCCGTGTGATGAGGATGCTGCTTCAGTTCTCAGATCCCCAATACCCAACCTTTAAACGTTTTGGGCTCTTGTGGTCTAGTAGGAATCGAAATGTTTAACCTTTTGTTTCGGTGGCCCTGCGTTCGCACACCGGGTTTAGGGATTTGGGGGTTGTAGGGTTTAGGGTTTTAGGGTTTAGGGTTTAGGGAAGTGCTTAAGAAGGCATGGCAAGTCTAACTTAGTTTGTCGTGCCTCATGTGAAAAGCTTTCGATTCTTCGCTGAAGTGCAGGCAGCGCCAGTCTCAACTGACTACTGATTCGGGCAGACACCAACTTCTGGAGCCAAATCCGAGATTATACCTATGGTCTCCATTGTAGTTCCTTTTTTTGGTTAACCAGTCTTATGGTTAGGATCCTATAATAGAGTTTTGGGTTAACCAAAAAAAGGAACTAGCATGGAGGCTATAGGTACTTCCCGAAGCACCAATGAAGCCCCCAATTACTTTCATTGTCATGGTTTACATCTTAGCATCCTAGTGTTTGTAATTGATTTAGCAAGCTCCTTTGCTTGACCCAAGTACCGCTCTGGTTGGTGGGTGTTTTTAGAGCGATCATAGCTGCCTAGACCCTCCCTGTATTATCCCTACACTTTGAACCTCGGAGGGCCTCCAACACAAACCCGATCAGCTTGAGCCCTAAACCCAGAGCCTCCAAAACCCCTTAATTAAGGAATATACCTTAAATTTTATTAAGGATCCTATTATGATTTCAGGTATATTCCTTAATTAAGGGGTTTTGGAGGCTCTGGGAACCCTTGAAATTCTAGACGTGCGACAAACCCAATATACTCTCTAATCCTGATCTCCTAAACCCTGATCCCTAGAATTCCAAAACCTCAAACCCTAAATTGTACGATGCCTAGCCCTGTAGACTCTAAACCCCAAACCCTATAAGCCAAGCCCTAAGGCTCCAAGTACGTACCTGAATATAATATACCCTCCAAACAGTAACCTACATAATTACTATCCTAAACCCAGCTTACCTAATTACTAGATGCCTTGGACGCTAAACCCAGTTTACCTATATAATTACTAGATGCTTTGCACCCTTGCTTGGGGAGTGACCTAAGAGGCTCTAAGACCCTATAAACCTTAAGCCCTAAGACCCACGTTAGGGATTGCGAGGTTCCTGGCTGGGCGGGCTCAAGACCCGCCATGCCTGGAGTGGTTCAGGACCGCACTGCATCTTCCCCAAGACTCCAACATGCCTTAGTTCAGGAATGTACCTTACCTATAGGCTCATACCCTACCCCTTTTTTTGAGGTACCTAATGTGGGTGTCGGTTTTGGAATATAGGCCCCTTTAATGCGTCGGCTCCGGGGCTAATTCCGAATCTTACCAAAAATTTAGGTGTTCTAATTAATGCGTTTTTTTGGCTGGGGCGATTTTTTGGTGGCGGGGCTGTGCTATTTGCTGATGGTCAATCTTAAGGCAGCCACGACCTAAACCCCCACCCAAACCCCCACCCACCCCTAAAACCCTGGCCCTGAAGCCCGAAAATCTCTTGCAGAATTGTTTCGCTTATTGGGGCGTCAGGAATGAGACTCTGTACTACTACTGTACTACTACTGTACTACTACTGTACTACTACTGTACTACTACTGTACTACTACTGTACTACTATTGTACTATTGTACTGCTACTGTATGCCTTGCTTATTGGGGGGGGCTGCTAGGGTGAACCACCGAATTGGGAATTGGACCCTTGCTCGACAAAGGCCTCTCCAGTACTAAAGTTTGTATAAAAAAATTCAATTTTGGGTCCAATCTGGACCGACCCCCCTTTGGGAAGGGTTTAGGGCTCAGGGTTTAGGGTTTGTCAGGGTTTAGGAGTTTAGGATTCGTTAGGGTTTAGGGTTTGTTAGGTTTTAGGGTTCAGGGTTTAGGGTTTAGGGTTTCAGGCGCTGGCTTTATGCTTTGCTTATTGGGGGAATGTGCTCACTGGCTTTATTTTCTGTACTATTACTGTATTACTACTGTACCACTGTACTACTGTTGTACTACTACTGTACTACTAGTGTACTACTGTACTACTATTGTACTGCTACTGTACTATTACTGTACTACTATTGTACTACTGTACTACTATTGTACTACCACTGTACTACTGTTGTATTACTATTGTACTACTGCACTATTATTGTACTACTACTGTACTACTATTGTACTACGGTAGTATAATCGTACTACTACTGTACTACTACTGTACTACTACTGAGCTACTATTGTACTACTGTACTATTATTGTACTACTACTGTACTACTATTGTACTACCACTGTACTACTGTTGAATTACTATTGTACGACTGCACTATTATTGTACTACTACTGCACTACTACTGTACTACTATTGTACTACGGTACTATTATCGTACTACTACTGTACTACTACTGTACTACTATTGTGCTACTATTGTACTACTGTACTATTATTGTACTATTACTGTACTACTATTGTACTACCACTGTACTACTGTTGTATTACTATTGTACTACTGCACTATTATTGTACTACTATTGTACTGCTGTATTATTTCTATTGTACTACTATTGTACTACTGTACTATTATTGTACCGCACCAAGCTTCAGACGTGGTCAGTGTGGGAGTGTAGGTTACGGAGGCAAAAGTGTTCAAAATGAAGGGTTTTTAGTCCTGGTAGTAATCTTGGAGTGATCGGGGCTTGGTTTCCAGCATTTGGTGATCCCCAGACCCCCGACCCCCGACCGCGCATTCGCGCAGAACCGCAGACCCTGCACCCAAGCCAGCCCCCAAACCCCGGCACCTCCCAATTCCCTGCCACTCAGACCCCTGACCCCTGTCCCGGCGTCACCGGCTCCATATTAAATAGAATTTATTTTTTTGGTTGGGGGGGGGGGGTACCCCACTATTAAACCGACACCCACATTACTTTCTATCTTGGGATTTCTAACCATAAAACTAGATACCCTTAAAAGGGGTAGGGTATGACCCTCCAGGTAGGGTTCCTTAAAGGGTTCCTTAGAAAGGGTTCCTTAAAGGGATCTATTCCGCACTGCATGTTTTCAGGGCAGCTTCTAGGATGGGGGTTTAGGGTTTATAGGAAACTCCATAAATTTGGAAACCGGACTAAGGCCAAATAGTGCTGGGATTCCCTATACATCATTCTTAAGGATTGAGGCTTTAGGGCTTCTACTGTAGGGCTCTTTACAAGGGTTCCGATAGGGCTTGTTTAAAGGGGTTAATGTTTAGCTCCCTTCAGGCCATCTTCTGAGACAAGCCTCTTTACAAGTGTTCCTATAGGGCTCTTTATAAGGGCTTAAGTTAAGTTTTGGGTTTAACTCTTGATTCAAGGCATCTTAAACGTGTTTCTAGATGGGCTCTTTATAAGGGTCATACAGGTTCCTTCTTACAAACGCTTTTTGATTCAGGTGTAAGATTTCAGACGTCGGATTACAGGGCTTGGGGTTGTCGCCTGAACTCCCCAACTACGCGTAACGAAATGCCCATTGCAACGACCGTCACGGCTCTATTGAAGCTACTCTAAAGAAGCCTAGTTCAAGCAACTACGAATAGACATTAGGAATCCTGATTATTTGGCATGCTCGCCTTCCAGACAAAGGGCCTCAGGCCGTGACTTCAACTGGGGAAAGTGCTGGGCTTTGCGGCCCAATTTCTGGCTCAGTGCATGTCGCAAATGCTGATGCTGCGTTTGGAGGCCAAGTTGGTGCGAATGATGGTGAGTTTTGTGCTGGCGAGCAGAGATGTTCCTGGAGGTGTCGGGGATGTGGATCTGCGCAGTCTGGATATCGCGGACGCGGCGGGAAACTGGGATTCCGTTGCAGTTCTGTTGGTGGCTTCGCGTTTCGTCTTCTGGAAAATCAAGTCGAAGGACGGGCTTGCTTGCTATGTTCTGCTTGGTGCTAAGCCCTGAACCCCTAAACCTTACTGTAAACCCTATAAACCTTAAACCCTGAAGCATAACCCGACACCTTGAACCCCAATAGATATAGATGCCCAAATCATTATTCAACAATTGTCTTCGCTTAATATAGTATAATATACTCCTCAAACCCTGTTGAAACTAAGCACTACGTAAAGCCCGTATAAACACAGTAAACCTTGATCCCTAGCCGAACTGCTTTCCCCACTTGAGGGCTCAATGCACCACACTAGTCGCCATGCTTACTAAGTCCCACGGGCCCCAAAGTAGTTCCTTTTTTGGGTAATATATTAGAATCCCTAATCAAAAAAGAGCACACACCCAAAACGGAACTACTTTGGGGCCCCTGGGTAAGTCCCACGGGCCTTTCAGTAGGACTGCGCCGCCCGGCTGCAGCGTCGCTGCCTGGAGGCGCTGGGCCTCGAGACCTTGCAGCAAGCGAGGCCGCCTACCTCGAAGTTTACATGTCGATGGGTTTAGAGTTTAGGGTTTAGGGTTTAGAGTTTGGTGTTGCTTTTGGGAAGTAGGGCTTAGAGCTTTTAACTTAAGACTAGGATGTGTCGGGGTTGAAGAGTTTTGAGGGACTTAGTGTTTAGGGCTCGGGGCTTTGAATTGTCTTGTCGCGGTGTAAATACAGGTATGCCTCCAAAGGCCTAGTAGAGTTTTACAGCATGTTTTAAAGCTTTCACATGGGTGTATATATAACAGATATATACATGTATATATATATATATATATACATATACATACATACATACATGCATGCATGCATACATACATACATACATGCATGCATACATGCATACATACATACGTACATACATACGTACATACATACATATATGTATATGGGTGTTTGTACGTTTTTGTAAGGGCCTAGAGTGCTTTCACAGGCGTTTTACAAGGGTGTTATGTCTTGCACGGGCTCTACCATTAAGACTATACAGGTTCTACAGGCGTTTATGAGATTCTTTGGGGCTTATCAGTTCTGCATAGGATGTTACAGGCTTTGATCGAGAAAGCCTGCTTAAGCTGCATCCCTTCATGCATAGCCAGCCCTTAGCGCAACATCTGCTAGGGATTCTGTCATGACGACTTTCTTCAGGGTTGGGGTCTACGTTTTCGGGCTTATGGAGTACGCGGTCAAGTTCCGGAGAGTGCAAGGAATAGGAAGCTTCGCACGGGTGTTCAACATTTCGGAAGTGCGAGGCTCCGGGCGTAAGATTTGCGGTTACTGTGCCTGGTTCGGAGTTTGAGGGTTACAAGCCTTGAGGGGGTTTGGGGTGGGGAGTTTACAGGGTTTGCAGTAGAATGTATATATAGGCTTTACTTAGTGAAGTCAAGTAGGTGCTTTAGCCTTTTTGGGTTACTGTAGTCCCTATTTCATTCCAAACGTGAACTTCCAGTCCCCCGAGGATACTGGACGAGTAACTTGATGTTCACTGCAAAGCTTAAGCTTTGGGTCGATCCGGTCCCGATAAGGAGCTTCGAACCGTCCAACTCACCGGGTTCCCTTAGTAATCGGTCATGCCGCCATGTGGCTCTTGTGAGGCCATACGTGGCGCTACAACTTCATGTATAGGGCAGCAAGCCTAGTCAGAATAGGGCTTACAGCGCAATCATGCAAGGACTAAATGGGGATTCGGGGATACTGCTGATCCGCAAAACGGGCTGAAACAATGCGACTCGGGTTTGAGAGGTACAGCATAGTCAAGTTGCACTGGGGGGCCCTAAGGGGATGCCAGTACGGGTCCAAAAGACATGTATGGGAGTCTCCGGGTGCCTTATCTTGGGGTCTTATACTAATCATCCTACTATCTAGGGTACTACTACATCAGGGTCCCCTCTTTTCGGAAACTCCCAGGTTCCTAAAGCCTGACACCCTTGATAGAACCCTTATAGCCTTATAGATCCCTCAAAGGAACCCTTATATAAAGGGTCCCCTAATTTCGGAAACTCCCGTATGAGTTATGAAGCCAGAATAAGGCACCCACACAGCCTGCCCTTCTTCGGGATGCTAGCCCACCTAAACCCTACATAGAGGATCATGGGACTTAGTAACTAGGGTGATAAGTAAGCTGACTATACTTACAACCCCAATTAAGGTATACTTATAACTTCACTTACTAAGTCCCACGATCCTTTAAGTATAAGCCCCTAAGCTTCTCGAGCTATGACTCTGATGGCTTTCCTCCGAAGCAGCGCACGCAGCTCTCGTACTGTGGGCAAGGTGCACTTCAGGAGTTTGTTGTTGCTTTGGTCTTGTGGGGTGTATTTTAGAGTTTTGGACCTTGGGGTTAGGTTTTTGGGGTTCACGCTTCTTGGGTTTAATGTTCGGGCCTTTAGGATTTGGACATTCGGGGTCTAGAGGGGTTTCAAAGGTCCGCGCCTGCCGGTGTATCAGGACTGTCGTGGGCAGCATGCCACGCAACTGCCGAAAGCCCACCTAGCGACTCGCCGGGGTTTCGGGTTTGGGGTTAAGGGGTTCAGGGTTTAGGGTTTCGGGTTTAGGGTTTAGGATCCGTATGCACTAGCAGGTCCCAAAGGAAAATCCCCATTGAGGTTTTTGGAGGCCTAGTATCATAATGGTAGTGTATATGGACCCTCTGGGTTTGTACCCGTGAAGTTTGCGCGGCTGATCTATAGGCTGATGAATTCGCTTTGGACGATGTTTTCGACATCGACACGGTGGGAACGGCAAATACTTAAGTACATTGTCCTTTCTGCACACACAACCACATTCACAATGGCAAGGTCAAGGACAGGGACAAGGACAAGGAGAAGGACAACGACAGCGAAAGCAGCAACAACAACAGCAGCAGCACCAGCAGCTGCAACAACAACAATAACAAAAGCAAAAACAGCACCAGCAACAGCAACCTCAACAGCAACAACAACAGCAACAACACCAGCAGCAGCAGCAGCAACAACAACAACAACAGCAGCAGCAGCAACAACAACAAAAACAGCAACAGCAACAACAACAGCAGCAACAGCAACAACAACAACAACAGCAGCAACGACAAAGACAACACATACATCATCGTCAACAGCAACAAAAACAACATCTACAGCAACAGCAACAACAACAACAACGTCAACAACAACAGCAACAACAACAACAACAACAGCAGCAACGACAAATTCAACACATACATCATCGTCAACAGCAACAAAAACAACATCTACAGCAACAGCAACAACAACAACAACGCCAACAACAACAGCAACAACAACAACAGCAGCAACGACAAAGACAACACATACATCATCGTCAACAGCAACAAAAACAACATCTACAGCAACAGCAGCAACAACAACAACAACACCAGCACCACCAGTACCAGCCCCAGCATCAGCACCAGCGCAGCCAGTACCGCCGCCACCAGCAGCTGCTGCCGGTCCTGAGTCCCCGATCCAGGAGCAAGTTCGGCATCTGCAAGCCGGACCCGCAACTCGGAACCCTGACCCGGAACCCGGCACCGGGATCCCGGAAGCCACCCCTCATCGAAAAAATACGAAAAGCGAAATCCCGTACGAGCGTTGCTACACTAAGCATTCCTGGAAAGGTCCTTCTTTATGTCTTAGGGTACTTGAAGCCAGAAAACCTGGTAACCTGCGCATACAGGGTTCCTGATCATGGTTTCTTTAGATATATAGTTAGATAAGTGCTTCGTCAAGAGGTAGGCATTTGGGAATCAAGGTAGTGTTTAGGGTATTTAGGTTATTTTAGGGTCTCAGTGTTTACCATTTAGGGCCTAGGGTGTCGAGCATTAGAGAACAGACTTCCTACCGTTTCATTCAGTTTGATCGTTTAGAAAATCGTGCGATAAACGTTGCATGTACCAGAGCTTCAGATTGTACACGGACCGATGCACGTAGCTCCGTGGCTTTAGGCTGGCACCGGTATGCAAACATGCCGACTCCTGCATGATAGGATTATGACTCATCCTGTATGCCTGGAATTAATTTAATGTGTGAAACAATGGTTTTCACCAGCCGTGAAGTCCAAGCATACTGCCACTAATTGCGATGTTTCAACTTTGTGGCCTTTATTGTAACCAAACCTAAACCCTAAACCCTAAACCCTACACTAACCGCCCTGCAATCTTGGAGGTGTTTCGGGGATGCCGCTGCATGGCAGCCGCAGCGGGCGAGTCGCTTGTCTAATTTGTGATTCCCTTCCCATTCGCTTAGGGGTACTTAGAAATAATTTGTAATTTTTCGTTATTATAATCCCTAAGAAACAGCTAAAATTACATTTGTTGCTAGGTCTAGTTCGATTTAGGCGACAGGGTGTGGTTTCTCGGGTTTAGGTTTTCGAGTTTCCGGTACCTGGTTTGTACAAGACAAGAGAAAACAGACAACAGCAAGGCATCTAGGTCTCACCACCACTGCAACCAGTTCTCGTCACGGCTGCACTACCACCATTGTACAATCATCGTCATTTGTGCCAAGGCGCTTGTTCCACATCCGTGACAAGAGTTCGTGTGCCCGAACATTCACCTGCTAGCTTCCCAGCTTTGGCGTTGGCCAGAGTGTAGGAGCGGGTCGGGTAGTTGGAGATACAGACGAAAGGGTTGAGTTCGGTTGAGTATGGCTTTTTCAGAAGAGGCTGTACAGAGTTGTTCAGAGATTGCGAAAGATGAGGCTTGAGACAGGTTTGAGTTAAGTGGTAGCTGTTCAGGGCTGAGTCAGTCTCGAATTGTCCGTGAGACGACTTTTCGAACGTGCTTAGGGCCTACATAGCTGCTTGCAAGTTTTGATGGGTCGGGGTGCGGTGGCAATGTTGCGAGATGGTAGAGGGCTCTTTATAGTTCCCTTCTGCATTCCCCTTTAAAATTCCATTTAGTTCTTATTCGTCATGGCCCGTATTTCAAAGCGGTGTTATAGGAAACCTTTCCCTAGTTGCCAAGGTCAAAGGTCAGGGTTATGGGTTTCTATATGTGGCTGCCTTAGGAAATTGGAGCAGATGAAGTCAAGTTTTAGGTGGTTAGATTTTGTTGAAGTCGCAATCTGGATAACCTCAGGGATGTGGAATTTGGATTGTATTGGCGAAGGGTTGATGCAGCGGGTTGGCGGGGATATGCGTGTGCGACGAGTGTGTTTTGTGTCTCTGTGTGTGTGTGTGCGCGTTTCTTTGTTGGTTGACACCCGATTGAACTGGGAAATTGCCGTTGGGTTGTCCCTGAAAACCCTAAACAACAAAAACAGTTCTACGGCCCTTCCCCTCAGGGTCCGAGTACCGAATAAATCATCTACTCTCCCAGGTATAAACCTACATAACTAATTACTATCCTAAACCCAAGTACGTGATTATTGGGTCCTTTGGACCCTTGGGGTTCAGGACCCTTGACATCCTTAACTACTGAAGTTCAAGAAAGCCGTAAGACAACCTCAACCCTTAAATCCTTAAATTAGCAAAAGCCGTACAGGAAGAATACGCCCCAAAACCCTAAACCCTTAAATCCTCCAATCGAAACAGAAATGCTTTCATTAAATTAGAACGCCCTCTATCATAGGGATCCTTAGGGGTGTAGGGGGGAGGGGTGTAGGGGACTATATTTCCTTAAATAGGCCTTATTAGTCCTTATTATGGGCCTTAAGGCCCCCTACCCCCCCTCCCCCTACACCCCTAAGGATCCCTATGACTCTAAGACTACACCCCAACAAGTGCTTGCTCATGAGGCCTGCGTCCCGGGTCAAAGAAGCCCCGCCAAGGTCGATACTGGGGCGCCGGGAAGGGTTTAGGGTTTGGGGGTTTAGAGTTTAGGGTTTAGGAAGTAGGGCTTAGGGTTTAAGACTTATAGGGCCATTATAGGGCTTAGGATTCAAATTTTTTATATGGTTTAGAGTTTAGGAGATAGGGCTTAGGGCTTAGGACTTATGCTTTGTAGGGTTTAGGAGTTAGTTCTTGGTGCTCAGGGTTAAGGTCTAGGGCTCCCCAAAACCCTACACCCTTGCAAAGGTGCCTTGTTGCGATTTCCATATCGGGGGCGAGGGTCTGGTTTTGACTTTCGGTTCAGGGTTTAGGGCATAAGCAGAGGGTTGAGGTTTTAGGGCTTAGGGCTTGCTTCGATTTAGAGTTAGGGCCGAGCGTATGTTTGTGATGGTGTACTGCAATGGCTCTAGAATAAGGGGTGTAGGAGTTTTTGTTTTTTTTGTGAGGGCACCATAGCGTTGTGGTAAGGGTTGTGCAGGGGTTTACAAAGTTTGCAAGTCTAAAGAGCTTCGATTCTTTTGAGGGCGCTATAGAGTTAATATCAATAGGCAGGGTCTTAGCGGGGTTAAGGTTTTGAAGTGCAGGGAAGCCTCAGGGCTTAGGGCTCCTTTAAAGGATCCGGGTTTAGGGTTTAGGGTTTAGGGTTTAGGGTTTAGGGTTTTAGGGTTTAGGGTTTAGGAGTTTAGGGTGTCCAGAGACTCCAATATCCTTTAATTGAGGAATCATATACCGTAAAGTATAGTAGGATCCCTTATAATTATGAGTTAAGGAGTATTCCTTAATTAAGGAGTCTCTGGGTGTAATGCAGAAGCCTGGATGATTAGTAGGGACTATGTGTTGAGGTTCCTGATTCTGCTAAGGATCATGGGACTTAGTAAGTAAGCTTGTAAGTACCTTAATTGGGGTTGTAAGTATTTTTTGCCTTAGTTGTAACCCTTGTTACTAGGTCCCATGATCCTCCAAGTTCCCCTAGTATGACATGCCCTGAAACGCCATGTTCATCTTCAGGGCTTCGGGCTCCTCTATTGGTACGGTTGATGTTATAATCCTGCATGACCCATAATAAGGAATATGCCATAATTCCCGTAGTTTAGGGTCATTAAGCCAATACAGGATTTATATCATCAACCGTAGTACAGCCAAGCCACCGTCCGTCATGTTTCCACAATCGACATCTTGAAGCACCCCCTGACCTGCCTGATTTCACTGAAAACGCCACCCCAGTCCTCAAGACATGAAGATATACTACTTGTGATGAAGGTCTGTGCAGAAACGAACCCAGAGAGCCCAATACCCCTTAATTCAGGAATATAGCCTAAATCATAATATGAACCTCCTTATGATTTAAGGTATATTCCTTAATTAAGGGGTATTGGGCTCTCTGGGAATGCCATTCTGGGGTTTGCGTGGATCAACAAATACCGCCTCAGGTCCCTGCCATCACTGAAGCCAACATCTGTGAACCCCCGAATCTCTAAACCCTATAGTACCCTAAAGGGAACACTTAAAGGAACCCTTGAAGGAACCCTACACCCGAACCCCACACTCAGCACAGCAAGCAAAATCCTGGAGGTGGCCCTTCCTCAGATCCAAGGCAGGTTGAAGACATGATTGACGTTTAGAGTTTATTTCGGTTTCTGATTGTCTGTACACCCTTTGGTTTGTGTACTTTCGTTTGTGATGTGCTGGGTCTTCGTGTGTTTCGTGAAAGTAGATCTCTTTCTTAGGAGGGGTCGCGCTTTCGCACTGATCATCGTGATACTCGTGGGCCTGTGCAAAACGGTTTCCGCAATGTCCTTGCTAA